TTTCTATTTTTTATTTTGAGACAGGGTCTCCCTAAGTTGCTAAGGCTGGCCTCCCCTCTGTGCCTCTCAGGCCACTGGGATTGCAGGCGTGTGCCTGGTGTTCTCTCTAAACTCACATGGTACAGAGAGAGAACCGAAGCAGGCTGGCTAGATAGAGGGCTTCTTCTCCAACACCTCTGTCTCCCGTGTCTTTGGATCCTCTCTGCTCCTTGCTCCCAGGCTGATGTGCCTGCCGCTCACCTCACAGGTGTGCAGACTGCCCACCAGCACCTGATGTCGACCTCCTTCAAAGAGGTCTCCCCTGGCGTCCCACGCGTCAGACCCACCTGATGCTCCCGCGTGTTACACACAGGTTGCAGCCACCAGGCTTTGCTGTGTGCATGGCACTTCTGCTCCCCACGGGGCCATGGCATTAGGCCCTAAGATTGTGGCACCCCAGTGACCCTATCACAATGACGAGGACATGGTACTCGGGACTGAACTCAGGGGCACTCCACCACTGAGCCACATCCCCCAGCCCTATTTTATATTTTATTTAGAGACAGAGTCTCACTGAGTTGCTGAGGCTGGCTTTGAACTCGTGATCCTCCTGCCTCAGCCTCCCAAGCCGCTGGGATTACAGACATGTGTCATTGCGCCCAGCTTCACATTTTTTTTAATTGGAGAAAGCCCTTGCCCATCACCCCCATCCCTTGCAGGGTTCCCCAAGAGCCCTGGAGGTCTAATTGGCTCAGAACTGGGAAGCTCTCTGGTCTAAGCTGGCCCCTACCAGTACCCAAGCCTTCCAGGTGCCCAAGGAAGCTGGTGGTGCCAGACCTGCCTAGAACAGGTGCCTTTGTGTGCTGAGAACCACAAGTGCTCAGGGTGAGCTTCCCCTGCGACCCATGGTCTCTCTGAAGAAAGAGAGCCCTGGCCCAGGCACACAGTAGGTGCTCAATAAACAACCAAATGACTCTTGCCTAGCCAACCCCACTTCCATCTCTGGACAGTGGCCTCTGCTTGCCTGAACAATCGGGGGAAAGGAAAAGAGGGGTGTGTCCTCCTGCTCTCCACTTACCGGCCCAGAGGGCTTTCCTCCAGCAGGATCTCGGGGTCCACTCAGATCCACATAGACACAGGGCCCATACACTGCTCTCTTCTGGCCCGTGGCACTCCATATTATAAGCTTTATCCCCCATCTTATTTGTTGTTGTTTTGTTGTTGTGGTGCTGGGGATTGAACCCAGGGCCTGTGCATGCGAGGAAAGCTCTCAACCAACTGAGTTATGTCCCCAGCCCAATCCCCCACCTTATTTGAAGCTACTAACCCTGAAAGATGCCCTGAAACAGAGGCTCCCAGGATGTGGGGTCACAGACACAATCACAGGCAGGTGCTGTTCCAGGGTGTGCCCAACAGCAACCGCTGTGGACCTGGGATGCCCACAGGCACAGCCTCATCTTGGACTCAAGAGTTCTCGATTCTGCATGCATCTGGCCCCAGCTGTGCTCACATATGTGTGAAAACAGGAGGTCAGTCAACTCAGACCAGTGGGCAGAGTCCAAGCAGCTGACCATAGTGTTCTGCCCCTTCCTGAGACGGGCGTGCAGTATGTTCTACATGTACCTGGTGTAGCTTCAAGTAAAGAAGCTGAGAAGGAGACTTCCCCTTGCCCAGACTGTCCAAATCCCCTGACTGCATCAAGCCTGGCTGCCAGACACCTTCCAGGACCTGTCTGCAGTGGACAGTGTGGGGCCTGCGGGTCAGTGTGACATTCACACAGCAGGTACAGAGAGCCTGGAGAGGCCCTGCCCACCCCAAGGACTGCCAGGCAGGGTGGTGGAGAAGGGGGCATCAAAGGGAGCTCTCCAGATTGAAGGAGAGTCTCGCCTGTCGTAAGATTCCAGGTGCCCACAGAGCCTAACCTGGTCAGAGGAGGGGCCCCAGGTGCCCAGGGAACAGCAAGGAGGTGATAATGGGAAGGGCTGCAACCTCTGGACCCAGAGTGGTTGTGGGCTGTGCTTCAGCCCACCTTGCAGCCCCCAGCTGAGACAAGTCCCACATGCCCACCAGGCAGAGGCCAGCCCAGGCCCTGCCAGGGGTAGAATGCCCAGCCACACTGCCACTCCACAGGACACTGTCACTCACAAAGCCTCACTGGACCACATCTCTGCCAAAGATTGTGAGGATCAGCCTCACCAGTACCCCCCTTCACAGGTGGGAAACTGAGGCCCAGGCCCCAGACAGTTGACCAGCTCTGGGCCACTGGACTCCAGGGCAGCATTCGCTGAAGTTGGTTGAGCCCAGTTGCAAGGAGACCAGACCCCAGACTACCACAGCCCAGGCCCAGGGCAAGGGAACAACTTCATCAATACAGCCTCGCCCCCCGCACTGGACCGCTGTGGACCTCACTGCACAGAGGAGGACACTGAGTCCACAGAGGCTCAGAGGCTTACCCTGGTCACACAGCTGGGAGACAGCAGAGCCAAGAAAGGAACCCAAAAGCCTGACCCCCAAAGTCTACACCCTCCAGGAGACTTGGCCAGTGGGGTGACCCCCACAGGACCTTGACAGACGTGGCCTGGAAAAGCAGGGGGGCAGAGCTCACACTGGCTGGAAGGTGGCAGGGCAGGCAGAGCCTTAGTGCCCGCCCAGGACTATGGAGGTCACTCGGCCTGGAGCGCCCCGCCCAGGTTCCACCCAATCTCAGTGCCACCAGGACTCAGACCCTGCCTAGCTTCAGCCCCACCCAGATTGTACCCCAACTCGGCCCAGGCCCCACTCCGCCTGGCCAATGGCCCAGGCCTGCAATTGGACACCTAAGAAACTCCAGACTAGGGCTGGAGTTGACCACTGCTCCATCCCCCAAGGACCCCAACTGCGGGTGAAGGGGGTAGGTAGGCAGTAAAGGCCGGCAGAGCCCAGGAGGGCCTTCCCCCTGGTCCAGCCCACAGTCACAGCAGTCAGAGCCCCACTCCCGCAGGAACTGTTGGTTGCCTGGTGTGTGTGCATGCCTGTGTGAGCAGCTTTATTGAGGTTTAATTCACAGGCCTTGCAGTTCACCATTTAAAGTGTACATTTAAGGTGGGTTTCACTCAGGCTGTGCAGCCCTGGACACAACCTAATTTGACAGCATTTTCATCCCCTTAAAAAGAAACCCACCATAGGGCTGGGGCTCAGCGGCAGAGCACTCGCCTAGCATGTGTGAGACTCTGGGTTCCATCCTCAGCACCACATAAAATAAATACATAAAATAAAGGTATTGTGTCCAACTACAACTAAAAAAAAAATATTTGAAAGAAAAAGAAACCCAATATCCACGAGCAATCACTGCCCATGGTCACCTCCCCCGAGTGCCCTGTGTTTGTGTGTCTGGATTTTTTTTTTTCTTAAACCAGGATTGAACTCAGGGGACTTAACCACTGAACCAAGTCCCCAGCCCCCACCCCCTTTATTTTGAGACAGGGTCTCACTAAGTTGCTTAGGGCCTGGCTGAGTTGCTGAGGCCTATGCCACCACACCCAGTTGTGTCTGGATTCTTTGACTCAGCATAGTGCATTCAAGACTCACCCGTGTTATAGTGTGTCAATGCTCCACTCCTTACTACAACTCCACGGTATGGATTTACCACCCTTGATCCATTCATCAGGCATCATCAGAGGTTAGATTGTTTCTGTCTTCCTGCCATTATGGGTAGCTCTGGAACATTCCTGTGGCAGCCTTTGGTAGATGCATGTTCTCATTTACCTCTGGTAGGGACCAACGGTGAGCTGCTGGGTCTTATGGTGACAACGTTCAGTCCTTTGAAGAATTGCCTGTTTTCAAAGACAGCTACCCTGTGATTCAGTCTCACCGACGATGCCTGCAGGTCCTCGATTTCTCCACATCCTCCCCAGCGCTGATCTCATCAGGCTTTCTTATTCTAGTCACCCAGGAGGATGTGAAAGGGCACGTCACTTTTTTACTGGTGCATTATAATTGTGCATTCATCGATGTGTGTTTGTAAATGCCCAAGTATATAGTTTTGATTTGCATTTTCCTAATAACCGGTGGCGCCAACCATCTTTTCATGTGCTCGTTGTCCATCTATATGTCTTCTTTGGAGAAATGTCCAGTCAACTGTATTGACTATTTTAGTCGAATTAATTGTTGTGTTCATATTAATTGTAAGAGTTATGCATTATGGATACAAGTTCCTTATCAGATATACGATTTGCAAATATTTTCTCCCACCCCGTGGGTCATCTTTTCGCTTTTTTGGTAGTGTTCTTTGACACACAAGTTTTCTTTCAGTTTTCTAGTTTGATGCCGTGTTCTTTATCTTATCGCGCTTTTAAAAATAACATTTTGTAAGTGCCTGCACCAGCCCCCTGAAACCCGCAGAGCCAAGCAGAGTGCGGCAGGGAAGAGTCGGCCGCCAGGGGGCGCCG